ATTCTATTCATATGTATATATATATATATATATATTATCTACATACTACTAGTCAATTTCTATTTAGTTACGTATCTCACACATGAACTTCAATTTTTACATATTTTGTCATTTTATATATACATGAAAGTAGTATTTCACTTTTAAAAGAATTTAAAAGTTATCATTTTTATGTGATATAAATATTTGGATGGTATTAACATAAAAATTAAAATTTATGGTTGGATAAATAAAAGAAATGATGAGGAAATTAATTGCCTCAAAATCTTGTAATTGCAAAATATATTAATGAGACCATGCCAATGAACAGACTGAGTTTGCTGTGGGTCGGGCTCATTCGACCTTGACTAAGTCAAATAACACTCGGGTAAGGCTGAGCGGGCCAAGCCTGCAAAATTTTAATTTTTTCATAGCCAAGTCCACCCATTCCAAGCAGGCTTATGGCGAGCCCATCGGGCCGCTCGCCTAATGCCCATGTCTACCAGAACCCAACCAGCTGACTCACACTCATAGACTTTAGGTTTCATAGTTGATAGTCCCTCAAGTTAAGATAAATTCATCATCAGTGGAACTTTCACAATTGAGAATCACACTTAATTTTAAACTTCTTGCTCCCTTAAAGGGAAAAAAAAACAAGGAAAAGACCACTCTAAACCCTGCAAAATCTTAAATCCTAGCAATAAAAAAGACAAATTAAATTTGGCAATAATTAAAAATGTATTTCTAAGTAAAGTTCAATAAGATTTGAATATAGTTAAATTAATGTTCAGAGATGATTTTAAAGGTTCGATCATGGTTGAAATAAAATTTGAATAAGGTTTAATCAGAGTTTAAATGACATTGTAGTTGGCATTGTTGAACTTGTATTGACCATCTGAGAAGGATTTGATTCAATTAGATTAGCTATAAATGGTAGGCTCTTATATAATTGTGAGGGAGGAGATTAAAAATGTATGAATTCAAACATGGATAAGATATTGATTGAGATAATTGAAATGAGTGATGTTTGCAATATTATGTTATTGACAGATAAGATTAGAGAGAATCATCTAAGATGGTTTTGTTGGATCAAATGTTGACTATCTGATGATCCGACTTGGAGGGTAGATGTTTTAGATTCAACTTGTATTAGAAAAAATAGATATAGACAGTGTTGTATATAAAAATAATCTTAATTTATTAGAATTAAATGAAAATATGACACTCAATACGACACAATTGAGAAAAATGATCTATGTAGCCGATCTGACTTAGTGGGACAAAACATTTGTTGTTGTTGTTGTATGCTATATTTTCATGAACGTTATTGTAATAAATATGATGTGATTTCTACTCATATATTAGAACTTGTTGGAGATGAGGAAGCCATTTTATATGCCCATGGGTAGGATACCATGGGAGAGGATATTAAAATGACAAAATTTAAAAATGATGCATGTCGAGCAAGTTACCTTGAAAAAAATGGCTCAACATAATACATTATAATTAAATTTATTGAAACCTTATAATACAAAACTAATGAAGTTATCACACATTTGGAGAGAAAATGTGCAGAGTTCTTTACAAATAAAAAATGATTACATACGTTCCTACGATGAACCAATCAAAACACTCCCCTACAAAGAAGTGTATATCAGCAGATCCCAATTTAAATTTTTTTTTTTTTTTTTAAATTTGATTGAACATCTTACGCAATTTGTGTTCAGTGTCCGGACGGAATAATCGCTCCTTGGAGATAGGGGGCCAAAATAAGTTAAAATGGTGATTAGATGCTCACAAGCAAATAATATATATATATATATATATATATATATATATATATAGAAAAAATTTCTAGCAACAATATTTTTAAGTATATATATTGAAATTTAGTTGTTAGATATGCAAATATATAAGAATTGTGTGGTAGTTATGTAAACTTGTCAATAATAAATAAATTGGCCTCGTCTCCTTCCCTAAATTTCCGACGCTTCCTTACGACAGCGCCGCTCGAAGAGATCTACAGGTGCCGTCTTCTTCGCAATACGTGATGGGCATCGAGCTCTTGGACGATGACGACTCCAGCACCGATGAAGCCGACTTATCTAAGCTTGAGATCAATGAAGATTTCGCCAAGCGATTTGAGTACAACAAGAAGCGCGAGGCTCTCCAGAAGTGCGAGGAGCTCAGAAAGCGCGGCCTCATCTCCGACTCCGACGAATCTTCTGATGAATCTTCTGAAGAAGAAGAGATAAAGGATGACTACCAGTTCTACGACGCCCTTGTTAGGGTGAAGAAGAATGACCCCATTGTCATGCAAAAGGACGCGAAGCTCTTTGCCTCATCATCCGAAGGTGAAGAAGAAGAGGAGGATAAAAAGTCTGGGGTTACTAAAAAGGCGAAGCCTTTGTACTTGAAGGATGTTATGGCTAGGCAGTTGATGGAAGAGGGGCCGGAGTTTGAAGAAGAGCCGCTGAAAAAGAACCCTAAGGTGTATAGCAGAGAGCAGGTTGAAGGGCTTAAGGCTTTTCTTGAAGCGGAGAAGGAAGCATTTGGTTCTGTTGTTGATGATGATGATGATGGTATGATAATTGAACAGAAAAAGGGCAATAGAAAAGACACTGAGGAGAATGAGGATGGCGAGATGATACATAAGAAGGTGGATGAGTTCTTTGGAGAAGATAAGGATCTAACTGAAGATGAGATGTTCTTGAAAAACTATTGTCTTAACAAAATGTGGGTGAACAAGGAGAGGGATAAAGAGACTTATGATGATATTGGGGTTTCAGAGGATGAGGATGAGCTGGAAAAACAGGAACAATACGAAGCAGAGTACAACTTCCGACACGAGGAAGAAAAAGAGGATAGAGTTTTAGGTCACTCTAGGATTGCAGATGGTTCAGTGAGGAAGAAAAGCAGCAGCAGAAAGACACAAAGGAAGAACAAGGTAGAGAGGATGGCGCAAGCAGAGTTTGAGAGGAAGGAGGAGCTGAAACATCTGAAAAATTTGAAGAAGAAAGAGATTCAGGAGAAGCTTGAGAGTATTCTTGTTACCGCAGGGATTGGCAAGGAAAGTGCCTACAATCTTGATGCTGCTTATCTTGAGGAAGATTTTGATCCAGAAGAATATGATAAAGCCATGAAAGAGATGTTTGGTGCAGATTATTACAATACTGAGGATGTTGATCCTGGCTTTGGAAGTGATGGCGGGGATGACCTGGAAAAGCCAGACTTTGATAAGGAAGATAAACTTATAGGTTTGACAGAAGGTTGGGATTCAGTTGATACAATGGAGGGGTTTGAGGGTATGAGAAAGTTGTTGTTGAAAAAAAGTGATGAAGAGGAAGAGCCCTCCCACATCGAAGGCAAGAGGAAGAGAAAGCAAAAGATTTCTCTAAGAGAAAAAGTGGAACTTGACAAGGAACTTGAGGAGTATTATAAGTTGGACTATGAGGGTACTATAGGAGATCTGAAAACTAGATTCAAATATAGGTCTGTGTCAGCCGAGTCATATGGGCTTCAAGTAGAGGAGATATTAATGGCGAATGACAAGGATTTGAATCAGTATGTTTCTTTAAAAAAGTTAGCCCCTTACCGCGAGAAGGAGTGGAAGGTGACATATCACCAAAAGTTGAAGAAGAATATGTTTCTTCAAGGAGGGAAGTCAGATGATAAAATTTATAGCAAGAAGCACAGGACAGAAGAGACCAGAAGTCATAAATTTAGAGAACATAAGGAACCTAATGAAGATGCAAATACGTTGTCCAAGCGCAGCAAAAAGAGGCGCATGCATGCCCATTTGAAATTATCCAAATCTAGGTTATTAGCTTATGGAAAAATCCCCTCCAAGCAGCATAAAAATCATTAAAGGTATTTTTTTTCATCTTTATTTCTTGTAATTTCAAATTCATGATTTTTTCCACTTGTAAATGAATAATGGGTTTTATATGGCATCCATTTTCATGTTCTTCTTTCAATTTGGTTGTGCTTTTTTAGCATATTAATAAACTATGTGTCGTGTTAATTAGTTCACGCGCCATGATAGACTGCTAGTCAATTTAAAGTTGATTTTTTTCTTAGTTTAGACTTGTTCTGGAGCGTTGCTTACTTTGCATTTGGAACATATGCCATTATGGGTGCGTGAATTATCAAGTGGTGGATATTTCCTTAAATGCATGCATAATTATCCAGTATTCTTCCTTTTGATTCAAGATTTTATTTTTTTGCTTTGCTTTGTAAGTGTATCAAATGAATTACAGCCTGCACCTCTTATTGTTCAAGACATAAAAGTGCAGCTCAAGCCATAGAAGTGCAGGAAAATAGGTAGATCTAGTTTCAATGGAAAATGCTACAAAGTAGTGGAATCTAATTCTCAGATGATGCTGTGTGCCAATGTTAATCGTTTCAATTCTTGCACCACTGCTTTAGGAAGTAGTGTTATAGGTGTATAATCTTCCTAAGATGCTTCTCCATTTTAAACATGAAGTTTTTCTTCTAGAATTATACCTTTATGTTTATTTTCATTATTTTCTAGGATTGATCTAATATACTTAAATCCATCATACATGAGTATTGCTTTATCCTCTAGTGCAGACTAGCAATTCTTGATATCACACTTATAAAGTTAATTATCTTATGCTTAGCTTTTATTCAACAAATTTTATCCCTTCATTTTCTAATTTTTTTCCTCTATCATTTTGAGTTTTCCATGTATTCCATTAGATCTCATCGACTAGAATTTTGGCATCGAGAGAATCATGCATTTATGTGCCACACTTTGAGTGTCGAGATAATCATGCATTTATGTGCCACACTTTGAGTAACATTTCTAAGCATCTTATTAGCTATACAATAAGACGTAAACTCAATTATATTCTTTGATGTAATATTATTAGAATTTATAACTTTTTGGTCACTTTTCAACTACTTAATATTATTCAATGCTCTATCGTGCATGTATTTAATAAATTTAACGTATCTTTAATACATTCTTTTCTTACAAAATACACACTAAATCAACTATTGTGGTACTAAATCGTACACCTGCTTAATACCAATAAAAATTACTTCAAGATACTTTCTTCGCCCTTTCCATTAATTGATTTAATGCACATTTTACCTTCATAGTGGTACTTACTAGTATGACAGTAAATTGTTTTTTTTGAAACTAAAATAAACTTTTAAGTCTATATTCCATTTCTCTTCCCCATAACTTTGTTTCATGAATCATAACTTTGATTCTTCTTTAACTACTGCAATATTGAACTTTACCTCTGCTTTTATTTAATTATTTCAAATTAGCTTGGTCTTTAAAATTCCATTGAAAAATTGTTAGATAAACCACTAGAATTTCTTTCAACTAACATCATTATCTCATTTGGATCTAAACTTTTAGCTTTATGCCTTTTCTTAGAGCAAACTTCACTTCATGATTCTCAATTATTCTATAATATATGTTGCTCATCATGCTCCTCCAAAATAATTTCTTTCTTAAAACTTCATTTAATAATTTATTCAAGTAGCCATATCACCTTTCTTTAATGCATTTATTTTTAAATAATATTATATTATATTCACTTCAACAAGTATTTATTTTGTCCAAAGTTTTTAGATCTCTTTTCAATTATCTTAATTATTTTATGTCTTATTTCTCTTTTCTTAATGTCAGGCCTATTATATAAATCATAGAAAACTATAGTTCTTGCTTTATTCACTAAGTTTGTTGGTTGTATTCCTTGTTTTCTTATGATTATTTTAATCCTCAATAATATTTTTGTTTGCCAATCTTTAAAAGTATGATTGTTTTTTAAAAACCTTTTTATCATCTCTTCCACCACAATGTCTGCTTATTAATGTATGATGTAGGCTATTATAAATTTTTGATGTATTCTTTTTAATGGAGCCAACCATTTTACTCCAAATAAAGTTTGTTTCAATTGATCCAATTTTCCTCTTGTAGAACCATATAGAAAAACTAAAAAATTATCACCTTTCAATTTTTAACACCATATTATTGGATAATTATTATTTTGATTTTTTTTTCTGTACTCCTAAGATATGTGTTCATGATTATTACTCTATGTTGTACAATCATACTTTCTTCTAGAGTGACCTTACAGACTTTGCGAAAAGGGTTTTTCTTTTGTTGAAGTAAAATAAGTTTATTAACAATTAGATATAGTCACTCGTAAAAGTCATTTTTTATTTCTTAAATCTTCTAATCTTTAGTGCATGATCATTGGCTACTTTGAAATTAATTATAATTCTTCATTGAATTTTCGTTCTCTTTTTCATGTCACATCCTACTAGAATATATATATAGATAGATAGATATCACGATTTTGATTTTATTTTTGTGAGTAGAGGAATAATCAATTAAATTAATTAATGGTACAATGTAAAGGATTTGACAATAATCCAAAAGTGTTAGAGTAATAACATAAAAGCTCATACAAATACTTAATAATAAATAAAAGTATAAAGCAAAAATTAACAAATAAGCATGTTTAGTTATGATTTAGAATTTCGAATTCAAAAGTCTCCCCCACTTCTATTAATTAGAGGGTCTTCATTAGAATTATCATCAAAGTTGGTTTCTTTCTCCTCCTTTATTCTCACCTGTATCAACATACTCTCAATCTCTTTCATTATCTTTAATTTTATGGTTCATGCATTATAATAATAATAATAATAATAATGTATAAATAAAAAAAAGCCCCAACATCTTTTAAACTATAAACAAAGGTGTACTGTGTATGTCTTCTCATTGTATGCTTCAAACAATTGACACGTATGCTTCTTTTTCCACACTGTTAGGCATATGGCTTAATCAGCTTTGCACGCACTAGGCACTACCCTAAAAGGCGCTCCTCAACACAATTTTAAACTATAACATATTTGAAAACTTTCTTGCCCAACCATACTCGCACTTCCAAAGAATGAACTTGCAGGCCTACTTAAATGGACATTTGGTTGCTTAAAATGAATAAACTCCCATTTTCATTCTCTTTTTCATGCCACTTCCTACTAGAATTTATATAGATACATAAATAGATATCACATTTTTCTTTTCTTTTTGTGAGTAGAGAAACAATGAATTAAATTATTTAATGGTTCAAAATATAAAACATTTGATAGTAATCCAAAAGTGTTAAAGTAATATCATAAAACGTCTTACAAATACTTAATAATAAATAAAAGTATAAAGCAAACACAAAAAAATTAACAAATAAGCTTGTTCATTTATGATTTAGGATTTCAAATTCAAAAGTCTATCCCACTTTTATTAATTAGAGGGTCTTCATTAGAATTATCGTCAAAGTTGGTTTCTTTCTCCTTTATTCTCACTTGTATCAACATACTCTCAATCTTTTTCATTATCTTTAATTTCATAATTCACACATGATAATAATAATCATAATAATTTATAGATAAAAAAGTCCCAACATCTTTTAAACTCTAAAATAAAAGTGCATGCCTCTTCATTCATGCTTCAAGCAATTGAGACATGCTTCTTTTTCTACACTGTGAGGCATAAGTCTTAAACCCCATTTGGGTCAAGCTTATTTGGTGGGGTTGCGTTTTGAAAACTCAATCGTGTCGTTTTTTTTGGTGATTTCGCTCAGCTTATCCAAATTAGCGATTTGGGATTATTAATAAACACGGCCGCGGGCTCGACCCTGTGGCTGGCGTTCTTTCCTCCGCTTATTACCCACATGCTCTCAAGTTGTGACGAAGGAAGGAGGGAGGGGTAAAGTGAGGAGGAGGGAAAAAGAGAACTGGGCTACACTAAAGGAAGTTCTTCATTTGCTTCAATCCAACGTCGATTATTACAGTCGTCCGTCGTGATCTAATTTACTGGTTCTGTTTTTTTTTTCCCGGCTGAAACATGACAAGCAACGGAGAGGAAGAACGAAACAAGGAAGGTGGAGGCGGAGGCAGCAGCTCTGCTGGTGGTGGTTCTCCTAGTCCGAATCTCTAATGGAGGTTCAATCAGACACTTAGAAGCGTGTAAGGGTTAGATCTGCCTCATCAAGATACCCCGTGTTTATTTGATTTCCTTCTAGATCTTTAAGTTCGCTTGAAGTTATTTTTTGAGCGGAAAAAATATTTTAAAGGGGAATGTAAAATCAGTTGGAGATTTTATGCAGCTTTGTTTTATTGCCTATGTCCTATAAAGATGGAAAATTGGGAGCTGATTGTATTTATATGGCAGTTTTAAGAGAATTTAGTTTTGGTCATTGCTGAAATGATAATTCCCAGCGTTGGATGGTTCTGGTGAATAAAATCATGGTTAGTCTCCTAAATTTTGGTGAACTTAGCAGCTATACTTGCTCCTCTACTCTTCTAATCACCTAAAAGATGTTTTATTAAGCTTTTTGTAATTTGTTTGCCACAGAAATGAATTAATGGCGGCTTCATTCTTGATTATTTTTTTTAAGTATTGTATTGTATGTAACTGGTCATTTGTTAAGAAGATGCACATCTTTGATATAGTCATGAATCAATTTCTTTACCTGATGTATCCAATTAGTCTATTTAGATAGCAAAACTGTTTCTTAGCTTAAATTTTGTCTTAAAAATTATTTCTTTCTAAAATTTATGCAGTAATATTTGCTTGCGTGAAACTCATGATGAAATTTCCATTCCTTAAGCATTTACACGACTTCATGACCTTGGAGAATGTAATTGTAGAGCTTCTCATTCATCTCGTTTAGTAGATTAACTAAATTTATGTACAACACAACTTAACATTACTACATAATTTTACTTGGATATTACCTTTTGTCTGCTGTAAATTCATCTTGATTTTTAGATGATATAAAGTTGAAATTGATAAATGCATAAGACTATTCACATTGACAGTAAAAAAGCTAAATGCAGAAATGTGATGGAATTTCGTTTTAATTTAATGCTTGATGTACGGTGAGCCTAGAAATTTTCTTATATGCAAAAAAGGATATTTAATTTAGTATGCAGGACATTTTTTATGTATTCTCTATGACGCATGCAGAACTTAGTTCATGTAAATAATCAGTGGACAAAGTTGAAGTAACTTGAGTATAAATCAAATTTGGATGCAGGGAGAAACTAAGATTTAAAGATTAAAGAGGTGTAGAAACTATAATTCTCGAAATGTAGAATTGGATGAGATGAGATTGTGTCCAATCCTGCCAATTCTTGTGAGCAGTTGGTTAACTTTAATTGCTAATTATGTTTGATAGGTTCCCATACCTTTAAGAAATTAACTATTAGGAAGGCTGGATCAGCTAATGGTATGCAACACATTGGGATGAATGATTATACATAGAAATTTCATGAAGTTCCATTATTAGTTCAGTCTTCATTATATTAATTTGGCTTAATTTTATTAATTTACTTTCGATGCAGTGGTTTTGCTTTCATTTTAATCTTCTCCTTTTGAATACACATCTTGCATTATGCCAATAAATGTTGCACATCGTATTCCAAGAGCCATAGTTAATGAAGTTTATAGAGATACCTTGTGCATTATCATGACAGACTTATATTTTATCTTTAAGATTATATTGCACAAAGCACAGAACATTATGTCATAATTTGTTTGGTAAATAATAAATGCTAATTTCGTTGGGGCCAAATTTTTTAATGTCAGTAGATTTTTTTGGAAATTTGAAGGTTTACACCTGTTGAAAGTGCAAATATTGCCCATTTAAACAGGGAAATTTATAATCCAATGATTTAATTATTTATTTACATTTTACTTATTTTTATAATTTTTCAATATTTTTTTAACTATATATATGTTTGATGATAATTGCTACGGAGAACGGGTTTTTCTCTTTGCTATGCCTATTTTTTAGTTGGTTCATTTTGGTTTTTTAATTGGTTTGTCTCTAGCCTCGAGTCATTTGATTATTGTTTGGTGCTTCCATGATGTGTTGCCGCGTTGGAGCCAGTTGTGTGGGAGCTATTTCCTTCTTGATCAGGAGCATTCAAAATCATAAAGTTGGTACCAATATTAAGCTTTATTTTCACATACTTGATTTAAGTGTCATTTGGCTACATAGTGAGTATATTTTTGTGTTTATCCTATTGATATTTGCCGCTTTTTTCATTTTCTTGTTGATCTAGTTCTTTTGTCTCAGTTCTTGTTTTTATTGTTTTTTAGCTTTTGATGAAAAGTTATAACTTATTTTTGGTCTGCAACGCAAAATTTGCTTATGGGTGTGGTTGGTAATGTTATGATTTTTATCTAACATAATTGTTGCACGATGGCGTCCGCACAAAGCTGTAACTGATGACTGCTTTTATCAATTAATTGAGGTGTATGTTATTTTTTGTACTATTATGAAGTGGATTTTTGCTTCTCAAGTATCAAATACATTGTTATAACAGTTATGTTGCAAACAATATTATTTCATAGAGACGGAATGATCATTTATCCAGAAGCACAAACCAAACAGCTAGCCAGTTTATCCGTATCAGCTGCTGCGCAGTAGCTGCTTATTAATAAGTTGCAGTTATCCCAAACAGACCATTAAGTAGCTTTGCACTCGCCACACCTAAACACGCTCCTCGACACTATTTTAAACTGTGATATATTTGAAGTCTTTATCCCCCACCACACTTGCACTCCTAAAGAATGAAGTTGAAGGCCTATTTAAATGGGCATATGGTTGCTTAATTGATGACTGGTGATAAAGGAAGATTTACATACATACGACTTAATTCGTAGGAATTTACGTATTTAACACCTGAACTTCAATTTTTAAATATACATCACCTTACTTTTGTACAAAAAATATGTATTTAATTTTTAAAAGTTAGAATAGTGGTATTTTTTATGTGATAAGAAAGGATTCAGTGGTATAAATGTATAATGTGAAGTTTAGGTTTTAGATATGTAAATATATAGAAATTGAGTGTTATGTATGTAACTTCCCCAAAAATAATATAAAAAAGTTATCCTTGTGGGATACAGGATCTTTAAATTATAGAAGATGCTTTTCTGGATTGTCCAAAACAGTTATATACGACACAAAGATAATCTGGAATTCTTAACTATTTTATAATTTTGCGGAACCAAATTTTTCTTGCAAGTTATCACTGTGAAATTTACACGTTATGGAACAATTTTAGAGCTGAATTTTCATTGCTTGTTAATAGATATTTCTAAAAAGCACAGGATTAATAAGAATCCACTGAATATCATATTTATTAAGTCTTATATCATTATCATTCTTAATCCTATCCAAACTATTTCGGTACACAATTAATCTGTACAGTGAAACCAAAAAAAATCCGAAGGAAAACCATGAAAACATTTTTTAAGAAACTCTAGGTTTTATAGAATAGGTTGATGGCTACATGTTACCTACCTGATGCATACAAATATTTTGATTTTTGTATAACATGAAAAAATGAAGCACACTTCTTCAATTTTGGTTATGTTGAGTCCCAAAGTGTCGATGATCTCACAACACTTAGGTAAGAAGTTGTTACAAGAGAAGAAAAAAAATTATCATAAGTGATTGACATTAGAATGGAGTTGAAATAGCGAATGTTTCGTACCACCTTTCCTAGCTCCTCAAAGAACCTAGTTGTGGATAGCTTTCTTTGTTGATAAATTTGGGTATGTTCAACTTAAGAATGGTTACATAAGTGATTGTATTACAAGCAAAGAAAGATATTATAAAAAGTAATATGATGAAGGAATTTCTTAGGACTAGTATCTGATAAGGAAACATATTGGATGTTATATGTAAATTACATGACGTTGCAGCAACATTGGATATGCCATAATGTCATGTAGATTGTAAAAAGAAATATTGGAGTGCCAAATCGAGTCTAGCATGAATAAGAACGTAAAAATGGAGAGGTGTTAAAACTAGGAGAACGGAGTTATTAAAAATAGGGAAATTTACATGCATATCGCACAATTCTTATTTATTTACGTATCTAACACTTAAAGTTTGATATTTACACTTATAACATTTTGGTGGCATAAACATATATATGAGAAGGTGTATTTCACTCCCAAACGGTACTGATGATGTTATTTTTGATGTGATGTTCAAGATTTGAGTGGTATGCATGTAATTATGAATATTTGGGTGTTAGATATGAAAATACATAAGAATTGTGGTATGTTTGTAAATGCCCCTAAAAAATATTATAGTAGATATATGTTCAGAATAATTCATATTGAAGATGAGGTGGTTTAAGATAGATTCAGTGGCTGGTATACAATGAAGAGTAGTTTATGCACTAATAAGACAAATAGTTAGAATTAATATTGAAGGATAGAGAAGAAAAGGCCGAAGGGATATATACCAAACGCAGCATGGATAACAATTCAACGAAAATAGTTGTAAAAAACTAAGTTTTTCCCTCATATAGTCTACTATAGTATTGAATGGAAAATAGTTGTGAAAAACAAATATCAGCTATTGAAGAGTTGCTTACTTTGGTTGAGTTGATAAATACTTAATTGTTATATTATTTGTATAATCGTCACTTAATTAATATTATTATTGTCATCATTTAGTTATTACATTATTTAGATATTTAAATTTTTGCCCAACGAAAGGATTTGTTTCGGCCCCTATCTTCACGATGCCCTTTGGTTCTTCTTGGTCAGTGGCAAGTCTAGGACTACTAAATTCCTTTCAATTCATAAGGTCTCCAATTGCCAGATAAATAGTGAACAGAATTAGCTTAAATTTAATAGTTAGCTAGCTAAATAGTTTCCAGGATTTAACACCATGGAGAGAATTTGCTAAATTCTAGTTTTTTTTTTTCTTAATAAATTCGATTAACCTTATAATTTGCTAAATTCAGACATTGAAGAGTAGCTTGCTTTGGTTGAGTTGATAGATACTTAATTGTTATATTATTTGTATAATCATCACTTAATTATTATTATTACTGTCATCATTTAGTTATTACATTATTTAAATATTTGCCCAACGAAAAAAATTTGTTTCTGCCCCTATCTTCACGATGACTTTAGGTTCTTCTTGGTCATTGGCAAATCTCGGACTACTAAATTCCATAAGTTCTCCAATTGCCAGATAAATTGTGCATGGAATTAGCTTAAATTTAATAGTTGGCTAGCTAAATAGTTTATAGGATTTAACACCATGGTGAGGATTTGCTAAATTCTAGTTTTTTTTTTTTTTTTTGTTCCTTAATAAATTCGATTAACCTTATAATTTGCTAAATTCTAGTTGACTTAAATCTTACTTTTCTTTTTACAAAGAATACTAAATCATTAAAAAAAATGAAAATTACAAAATTCTACTTGATAATCATTTAGCCCTTACCACAGCATATTTTTGTTATACTAATCAAATCTCTGTATCTTAAAAATTCCTCTAATATTCTATCTCAATATCTTCATAAGCAAAACAGACAGCTACAGAGAACAATGACGACTCTTGATGTCATTTTACAGTAATTTTTATTTTTTAATCTTTCTCAACACTTTTTTATGCATTTGTTTTAATAATTTCAGTATTTCTTTGTCGTGCTTTATTCTTCTTAATGAGAACCGAACAAATTCTCATTTCATAAGACCAGTTTTAAGCTGCAGGTGTAGTTTTATGTAACTTGTTCAACTTTATTCAATGGCTTTTTGCTTCTTCTCAGTGCATGCTTTGCAAATGTTTATGCTTTGGATGTTGTGCATACTTACACCCAATTCCTATGTATTTACATACCTAAACTTCAATTTTTACATATATACCACCTTAACTATGCATGAATAGGTGTATTTCAATCTTTAAAAGTTAAAATGGCGCTATTTTTTTGTAATACGAAAGATTTAAGCGTGATAAATATAAAATATAAAATTTAGGCGTTAGATATGTAAATACATATGAATTGGGTGGTATGTATATAAATGCCCTTTATACTTTTTGTTTGTTTTTTTTGGAAATTTACATACATATCACACAATTCTTATGTATTTATATATCTAACACCTAACTTTGATTTTTACATTAATATCATCTGGATCTTTCATATCACATCTAAAATACCACAACAACAACAAGCTTTTAAGTGGTCGGCTATATGAATCCTTTTTCTCAATGGCGCCTATTGAATGTCTTATTTTCATTTGATTCTAGTTAATTAAGATCTTTTTTTTCTTAACAACATGCCCAAATCTTTTTAGGTCTGCCCTCTATCTTTCTTAACATAAGTAAAATCTAAAACATCTACTCTCATAACTGGGACTTCAGATGGTCGACGATCAATGTGACCAAATCATCTAAGACAACTCTATCTAATCTTGTCTGTCACTAGAGCTACGCCAACCCTTTTACCCTTTTACGGATACATTCATTTTACATTTTATCTTTAAGTGTAAAGCCACTGATCCCACCTAAATATTCTCATCTCAGCAATACTTAGTTTTATTCTTCTCTTTTATAAGCCAACATTCTGCGCCATAAAACATTGCAAGTCTCATCACCTTGTTATAAAATTTTTCTTCAAGTCTAAACGATACTTTTCTATCACACAATAGGCCCGATATGTTCCTCCACTTCAACCATCCTACTTGAATTCTACTAATATCATTCCCATCCATATCACTATCACATTGAATAATAGACCTATGATATCTAAAATGCACATTAATTTTAATGATTTGATCATTCATTATTACAATCCCGCCACTAAATCTATTACTAAAATTATATTCCATGTATTCAGGTTTAGAAATTAAATAAGTGAAAAAAAACTTTTTAATGCATAGATAAGGTGGCAATTATATAATTACATAAGAATTGAGTGATATGTATGTTAACATTTTACTTTTTTTTTCTTTACTTTTTTTAGTGCCCAACATGCAATCAGCGCAAATGATTCTTTTGTAAATAATATTTTGTCTCTGAGATGATAACAATCTTGCTGATGCAGATGTGTACTACTGATTTTCTCACAAACTACATCTGTTTGTTGATTTGGAGAGAGAGACTGTTGAAGCACTATACAGAGAGCTAGCTGTGCTTGGTCTGATTTGGATAAATTTAGCCTTCTCATGCTGAATCATTAGTTCATGTCAATGTCAGCTTATAATTTTGGTGTTTTATATCTGAACATCAAGCTATTACAAATTGTTTCTATTTATCCTTATTTTGGCTTTTCTTTTTTGTTATTTCCATTCGCTTTGTTTTTTTGTTGCCGTTGTCATCTCATTGTCGTCGTGATTTCTTTGTCAAAGCAGATTAAGATTTGTATGTATTTCAGCGCACTTCCACATAACTGTCTTTTATTAGAGAAAATATTTTGTCCGGACATCGCTAGTCCGGGGGGAATATTTCTTCCTTTTATTAAGCAGCCGTTTGGTGGCATTTGGTCGCCTAATTGAAGGGTGTAATGTAAATCAGATAAAGATGAGTGAAATTTGAGCTTTTAGTTGGATGTAAATCGAATGATGTTCAATGATTCCATTCCATTATAGCATTACTCATAATAAACAAGGGTAAGAGGAACATTTGCGTACATACCCCTCGATTCTTATATATTTTTACATATCTAACATTTAAACTTTGATTTTGCAATAAGTTTAGATGTTAGATATGTAAATACATCAGAATTGGGTGGCATGTCCCAAACTATTTACTGAAAGCTGCTCATTTTTTAATTTCTATACTTGCAATGTATATCCTAAACAGATTCAAGCTCCCGAAGCCAACACATTTCGTCATTCAGAACCACTTGGCTTAAGAAGGCCAAGTCTAAAATCCATTGCTGCTACTTATATGAGGAAATCTTAACGTAGTTATCAGTCTGGAAAGACAATTGCTATCGCAGAAGAGTCAGACCTGCTACTTGTAATATTTCGCCTCCACTTCCTGTCACAATAAAGAGGAAGATGATAAAAGCATTGATAACATTAAAAGTATTTTGCCCTTCTGAAATATCTGTTTTGGCCCTCTTGAATTATCACTTTGTCCTTTCCTTGTCCTGGCCTCTCTCCCATATTAGGCTTAGGAGGGCAGTTTGAATTTGAGGTTTATGCAGGGCCCCCCCGCCCCCGGGCCCTTCTTGGGTCCACCTCTCTCCTGATAGAATACAGAACAAAGGAGATTGTAGACTCCCATATTTTCAACAGCTTGATTAGATCTTGGATTTGAGAACTACAATAAAACTTTTGCAGTTCCCATTTGCATGTCGGGAAGAATGAACTTTCATGAGGTAAAGGCCGTGTTCGTAGCCAAACTCAACAAATATAGTTTGGCTAAGATAATTGTCTTTACCCCCATACAAGTTCATTCTTCCCGACGCACAAAAGAGATGTGCAAAAATTTTCCCTGTTGAAATCTAGATCACAGTTCTCAAATCCAAGATCAAATCTAGCTAGCAGTTGAAAATTTGGGAGTACCGGCCGGCTTCGTTTTTGTAATCTATCAAGAGAGAGCTCCTCTGAAGAGGTATGTATCATGATATAGAGATTCAATACATGATGTTAGGTAACAGATTTATAAAAGATAGAGAGGGGAGTATGTGGATGTGATCGTAGGAGGGGAGAAAAGTACTTCTTTTTCTTCGAATTTATATTAAATTATTACATGATATATACATAGATAGTTTGAGGGGTTGAATCCCGCATTAGTATCATCATAAATGACTCATAACTTCTCATAATAAAAAGGAAATAAGAATATAACGTACTATTAAAGTTAAGCTCTAATAATATAAAATTATATATGCTACTAAAAATACAATCAATTTTTTGCAAAACAAACTGCGTGAGTGCATTCGGATCGTCGAGACAGTTCAAATGAGTATTTGCTTTCCGAATTGGGCTTCTTTTGGTGCAGTCAAAGGGTTAAATATTCTTTCTATGTAAATATTATAAAAATTTAATGTATATATGTTTGAATTTCAAATTAAAACCTCTTAATTGGAATGAATGAGGGAAAATTGAAATGCTAATAACTTAAAGCACATGGTTTAAATTTGGACAAGTAGATGCCAATGTTCAATCTCTCTCTCTACTCTTTACTCATTTTCCTATTTTTCCCTCACACTTTACCCTCATGGCATGAACAAATAAAACAAGTAAGCCTGCTATTAATCAATTCCTTCCTGGTTTCTCTCTATAATTTACTCTCTCTCGCTCTCTTGAAAATATTACGTCCAGTAAGATGTACGTGCGATTGACGACATGAATTTCACTGCGCCGCTAGATGTACGACGTGATACAATCCACTCTGTTGTTTGCACATTGGGATGAGCGAGGTTAGATTGCAAAAAGAAAAAAAAAAGAAAGGAGGGGTTCGACACGTCAAGCGGAATCCTATATGTACTATTTGTGGTGTGGTCGGGTAAAGCTTGTACGCAACTCTCACGACGCTACATGTGATTTAAAAAACTAATTAACAATACTTGTTTTTCATGGCGCGGTGGGAAACATGCGCGATTTCTCGTGTGGTTGGTGATGAAAACGGGCAATGGTATTTACATCACCCATATGAGTTTTTTATGGTTTGGGACAGACCTAGACCTAGCTTCCCAAGTAGCCCCCTCTCGTGGATGACGCCGGTAGGCAGCCGAAATTCCGTCCAAATGATTAAATTGAACTTGAAATGAAGATAAGTTTTCTTTAAAAACGCTATAAATCATCAATAAATTTCGGAAATAAATCATTAAATGGTAGAACTAAATAAAAAAGAGCATGCATGAGATCTACAAAGGACTCGACGACTTATCAATGAGCTTAAATGAAACCTGTGATTGACTCATTGACTCACTGATAAGTACTAACTGAGATATTGGATGCTTAAATTACATTAAAAATATCATTAAATAATTAAGGAGCCACATTGAAATTATTACAAATTCTAAAATCTAATTTTCAATTCGAATAAAACATATGATAGATTTTTTTTATGAAATTAAACGCTAGTTTGTAAGCTTAATGAAGCTTCAATAAGCACTAAAAAATTTGTAAGTTGGAGGCTAAACACAAGTAATTAAATTCATCTTTCTGAATAAAAAATTAAGATTTTAATCTTTCTTCAATAACCACCAGATTGTAATAGCAAACAGAAGACTATTTTCAGGATCCCAATATAAAATCTTGCATTCTCAGGGGACTCGACGGGCAATGAGCTAGAAATCTTGCATTCTCAGGGGACTCGACGGGCAATGAGCTAGAATGTAACCTATAGCGAACTCACTAGTTCACTTATAAATGTAAACGACGCATTAAAAAATAAATTGTATTAGGTATGGCTCATATACCAGATAAGGGACAATTACTGGAGCAGAACGGAGCGAGAAAGCGGAACGGAACTTGCGAGTGCAGTGGAAGCATCTATCCAATCAGGTTCGTAATGTGGGTTGGGGATGCGAGGATAATTTTGTAATTACATATTATGCGCCAAAGTTATATATATATATGTCTTGTTTGTAACCCTAGGTAGTTTTGTACTCTTTTCCTAAAATCGAAAGAAAAAACTACCGCTCTGCTTCCGAAGATATAGGCTTCTTTACCGAACCTCGTTAAATCTGTATGTTTTCTTCTTGATTTGTGCCGATTCTTGAGTTTTCATTGCCCTAAATTTCTCAACAAATTGCATCAAAACCACACTTCAAATCTCACAACTTTTCTTAAATATAATAATAATAATAATCACAAGCATTTATGAATGCTTTAATCCAACAAATTACGACATTAATATAACTAATTCCAAATTACGTAATTTAATGAACATCATACGCATAAACATTAAGATTCGCTCAGCATCCAATTTTCAGATTCTCGCTCAAATATCAAAATTCATGATAAACCCCAACCCATATTTTTCACCCAAATATCAAATTCTCAATTTTTTGACCGTGGCACATGTAAATACATTGATTCGCTAGTTCAAAAATATCACATTAGTTGTTAATTGTAAATATCAATGTTTCAAGTGATTTGCATGTAATTATCCCAAAAAAAAAAAAAAATCATAATAAATGTGGTGGATTTTTACACTTTTGAAATCATCATGAGGTATTCTTCCACTGATGAACTTGCAAATATTACAAACCCAATTGATATATATATATATATATATATATGTACTATGTACACACACCAGTGTAGATCAATTGATCAACCTGGCTAGGAATAATTGGCTGTCACCTAGAAGCCATTTCTTGCATTAATACGGTACATTAGTTCCTGAAAGAATCACAAGTAAATTTGCTTCAGAGAGACTAAAATATTATCCAACTGAACAAAATTAAAATTAAAATAAATAATAAATGAATTTTTTTTACTAAATTCATAGTATGTGTTGAAATATCTAATTTAAATAACAAGATTTATTATCTTTCATGTAAAGACTTATAATAGGAAATAATTTATTCATAGTTATGAGAAATAAATTTTTTCCTTAATGTAAGGAAATATTTTCTTTTCATATATTAGGAATTATTTGTTTCCATAATTTATATTATCTTCTATTATCTCATAATAATTAATATGAATTAACTAATATGAATTAATTATTGGAGATATCAGATGATATATCTTTCCCTTCATATCATTTATTTTTTTTATTATTTTTTTTATTATAGGATTCTTGTAAAGGTTATTTATACCCCCAGTTCATATCAATGAAAGTATTCAAAGTATGAAGTATTCCACTTTATTCCGTATTATTCTAAATTTCAACAACTTATAAGCCGCCGAGAGCCAAATTTTTTGCCCTAATCACGGTCGTTGAAGAACCGTGAAACTCCCTTCCCGCCGACCTTCTTGTGGGAAGGGAGGAAGGTTTTCTCCTCGACCTTCACTCCATCACAATGGCGAAAATGGTTTTCCACCTCTTATTCGTTCTATTGTTTTTACCACTCGTATGCGAGTTTTTCTCCGCCAAAAACCCTACGAATTGCCGTCTCCTGGTCCTCGTCGATGACCTCGCCATCCGCTCATCTCATTCCCTCTTCTTCAAGTCCCTCGACAAGTCCCTCGAGTCTCGGGGCTGGCTACATTCTCGAATTCCGCCTCGCCGATGATCCGAAGATTTCCCTCCAGCGATACGGCCACTACATGTACGATGAAGTCGTCATTTTCTCTCCTTCCGTCCAGCGTTTTGGGGGATCACTTGACCAGGTCGTCGTGCTGGACATCGTTGATGCGGGGCACGATCTGATCCTGGCTGCGAACTCTTCTGCGTCATACCTGATCAAGGGGATCGCCTCAGAGTGTGGTGTAGATTTTGACGAGGATCCGGATGTCGTTGTTATCAATCACGTTGGTTATGCTGTTTCAGAGACTGATGGAGAACACACACTCATTGCTGTGGATGATTTTATACAGTCTAACGTGATTTTGGGAGAAAAAGTGATAGAGGCTCCTGTACTATTCTGTGGAATTGACAATTCTGTAAATTCTACCAGTACTTTGGCCTTGAAAGTGTTGTCTGCTTCTCCTTCAGCTTATTCAGCAAACCCAAGAACTAAGTTGTCAAGTTCTTCCCTCACAGATTCCACAATTGCATTAGTGTCTGTTGTGCAGGCTAGAAATAATGCTCGCATGTTGACCTCTGCTTCTGGATTCTTGGCAAAATTAACATTGTGCAAAGCCGTCACCTTCTTCTACTCCATCGAAGGCTCCTTCTCCTGCTCCGGCGATGAAGCCTCCGAGCTCTTCTCCTTCACCATCTCCTGCTGTTAAATCTCCAAGTTCATCTCCTTCCCCTGTTCCGGCTGTTGAAAATCTACCGTTCTTCGTCTTCGTCTTTGAGAAAGTATATGAAGAAAAAGCGAAAAAAATAGAATTTGGTTCTCTTCTTCATCGTTCTTTTATTTATCTTTACTTACACTTATTTTAATTTGATTATCTCTATGATTCCGTTCCTTGATATGGATTTGTGATCGGAACAGTTCAGATTTGAAGCTTTATATTTTAATCTATTTGATGTTCCTCGTTTCTCTTTTATAGATCTTATCCTGTGAAAAAAAAGGAGCAATGTGAGGTGGACACTAGGCTTGGCTATCCCTGCCATCATGATGCTCATCTCTTGCATCTCTTCTTCCTCGGCAACAGATCTGGTTCATTCCGATCATCCCTCCTTCAGCTGTTCCTTTTTCCGTCGAAGCTGGATTCGACACCATCATCAAGATCATTTCAAGCAAATTCTGTGAACTCGCGTGGACAACACCAACAATGCCGCCACCCGCCTCAACATCATCTCACCAGAGATATTGCTGTTGTGGATCGGACAAGCCGTCCATTTATTTTTTCTTTCCTGCCCAAGCGTCAGGGGGAGCTGCGTTTCCAACCGGACCTTCTCCACAGCCATCAGGACCGGTGTCTGGTTCACTACACCATTGTGATTTCAGCGGTTTTCCCTGCGCAGGCATTTGCACAACTGCAGGCTTGCATTTTTAGCAAATAACGGACATTATTTTCTTTCTAGTAGAAATTTTGGTTCGCCAATGAGATTTGTTTTCTCTCTCAAGTGCAAATCTCAGTTTCGGAACTCCCTCCTGTAGTCCTTCATGCCGGTGAAATTCTCTCCTGCGGCCTTTCCTGCCGCCAGAACTTCCTGCAGACATATCTGCTGCCAACTGGACTTTCAGGTTTACTCCTGCAGTCGGTTCTCTCTCCTGCAACCTTTCTCACCGTCGGACCTCCCTCTTGTAGCTTTTCTCGCAGTCGGATCTACCTCAACAAATCTTTCCCTGCAGATTTTTGCTAGCTCTTCCCAAGGAAAGCATTGCTCTTTCCTGCAACATCATTGCAGCCTTCTCCAAACACTATAGCTTTCCTGAGCACTGTCGTTGGCCAGTTGCAGCTTTCCTGCAGCCTCCCTGCAGCCTCCTTGCAGCTTTCCTGCAACCTCCCAGCAGTCTTCTTGCAACTTTCATGCAATTATCAGTCAACCAGTGACTTACAAATTCATCAATGTCTTGAAATTGAGCTTAGCCCTCGTCCAGGCCACTCCCAGGCTTCAGTTACTCTCAGGTTTCAGCACTCTCAGACTTCGACATTTTCGGCTTCGGAGCTTCAGGCTTCAACGCTTTCAGGCTTCAGCACTCTCAGGCTTCGACATTCACAGTTTCGGGACCTTCGACTTCGACACTTACGGTTTGAGGATTGTTGGAATTTCTTGTTGGCAAATTGATGCTATCTGTCCAGTCAGCATACCACAACTAATGTTTTCAAATTCAAGTTGAATATGGTTTTCAACCATGTTCAACTTGAGGGGGAGTGTTGAGTGAGGGGGAGTGTTGAAATATCTAATTTAAATTACAGAATTTATTATCTTTCCTGTTAAAACTTATGATAGGAAATAATTTACTCCTAGTTATGAGGAATAAATTATTTCCTTAATATAAGGAGATATTTTCTTTTCATATATTAGAAATTATTTGTTTCCCTAATTTATATTATCTCCTATTATCTCCTAATAATTAATATGAATTAATTATTGAAGATATCAGGTGATATATTTTTCCTTTCATATCATTTATTTATTTTTATTATTTTTCCTATTATAAGATTCTTGTAAGGGCTATTTATACCTCAGTTCATATCAATGAAAGTATTCTACAGTATTTCACTTTATTCCGCATCATGTGATATATTTTTCCTTTCATATCATTTACTTTTTTATTATTTTTCCTATTATAGGATTCTTGTAAGGGTGGATTCTTGTTGTAAGGGTTATTTATACCTCAGTTCATATCAATAAAAGTATTTCGAAGTATTCCACTTTATTCCGCATTATTCTAAATTTCAACAGTATGAAATCTAAAGAATCATCGAGTGGATAGGCCATCCATTCCATTATAACATTAGTTATAATAAATAAGAGGATGATTTACATGCATGCCACTCAATTCCTATGTACTTGATATCAAAACTACAGTTTTTACATACATTCACCTTAACTATACATGAAAAAGTGTTTTTCTTTATGATTTTTTTATGTGATATCTGTAATGTAAATATATAAGAACCATGTGGTATATATGTAAATGCTCATAAATAAAATAGAAAGCTGAAATTAATGAAATAGTATAATTATTTGAGATTCCTCACCAGATCACCTTGAGTACTAGATGTGAAACAAGTCAGCAAACCAGCAAGCGATTCATCTTCCCCCAATATCCGCATTTCATCTGAGACGTCGGATGGGTTCCGCTCAACTTGGTTGGTCGGCTGAGATGTAGGACTCGGAGGCTTTCTAACAAACAAGTCAATTCCTCGTACTTGTCCGGATGTTTGCATAGCAATGAACTGCAGATACATATATACACATATTGGTGTGAAAAAATAAAATAAATATAGGATGGATTGGATCGGAGGCAATATTTACTTGGAGTATGTGTCTAACGGATGAAGTTGGTGGGCAGCAAAGATGTGGGCTTTCTAAAGGCAGGCTTTGCTCGTTCAAAGGAAGCAGTTTCAGATGTACGTGGAACTGAGAAATTAAAATAATAAATAAAGTTGAATAAAGGACATTAATTAACTTCAAAATACAACTATGGAGCTTCCTTAATTGAAAAAAACTGCATACCTTATCTTCATTTTCATCTACATTATGCAAGTGTTCTATTAACCTGGCCAGCCTTGCAGCCCTGACAGATCTTCCATTTGAACCAATACTGTTACTGTGCCGGGTTTGGCTACGAACACCGCCTTTACCCCATGAAAGATCGTTCTTCCCGGCGGGCAAAGGGGAAGTGCGAGAATTTTCTCTGTTCAAATCTATACCATATTTCTCAAATCCAAGATCTAATCTAGCTGGTGAAGATGTGGGAGCTACCAGCCGCCTTCGTTTGCGTATTCTATCAGGAGAAAGCTCGTCTAAAGAGGAGGGACGTTTAATGGCATCAGTGCTTCTAACATCTTTCTCTTTATTGTGATCAGGTAGTGCATGTGAAATATTACGTGCAGCAGGTCTAACTCTTCTGCGATAGTAATTGTTGTTTCCCGAATGGTAAACATGTTGAGATTTTCTCATATAAGTAGCAGCAGTATTGGATATAGGCCTGGTCCTTCTCAGGCCAAGTGGCTCTGAATGCCGAAATGCCTCGGCTTTGGGAGCTTGAATCTGTTTAGGATGTACATTGTAAGTTCAGAAATTAGAAGATGCGCAGATTTCAGTGGCAATATTAATAAGGGACATTTACATATAAATGATACCACACAATTCGTGTGTATTTACATATCTAACATTTAAACTTTTCTTTTTAGATGTATACCACCCAAATCTTTCGTATCGCTTACAAAATATCACTATTTTAATTTAAAAAAAGTGAAATACACTTTTTAAAGAATAGGAAAGGCAGCATATATGGAAAAATTGAAGTTTAGGTGTTAGATATGTAAAAATGTATAGGAATTGAGTAGTATGTATGTAAATATTCCTATAAATAATTACTTGGTAGTGTTAGAAAAGTGATAAAATTTCAAGCAAAATTAAATGAAGAGGAAGAATGAATAAGCCAAATAATAGAATAAAAAACATCAACAACCAGATAACGATAAATTATTATACTAAAATATAAAAAGTACATCAAAGATTTCAATTCGAATATAAGAAAAGTTTAGGGCTACTACTTTTTCTATGTCAATGGCTAAGAATGCCAGCCACCTACTGTGTAAACGAGGTGTAGACGTAGAGAACAGGGCATTGCTGCTACCAGACCATCTTCCTTGCTCAGTTAGAAGAGCTTATTTCTCTCCTCTTCTTTACTACAAGAACATTCCCTTACTATAGGTGAAAGTTTAAGCTCCTCCCCCACCCTCCCATTTTTTGTGTTTGTGGTTGTGATATACTTCAACGCAATATAGATGAAATCAACTCTCTTATAGTTCTCCGAGGTGTAGAAAAGTTGAATTTATTAGATAGATTATGGTCTGTATCATAACATAGATGATCAATATATGATGGTAGGTAACAAATTTATAGAAGATAAAGAGAGGGCAGTATGTAGAAAGCTTGTATAAGTTAGATGAGAAAAAAATATCTGCATATTTTAATAATTTCTCTCTTGGAAATAAGATTTTTGATATAGGTATTTAATGATTTGTGTCTGAACCACTATATTCGACACAATCAAATCTATCAAGCAAAAACAATGCGAAAATGTAGAAATTTACACAACAACAATCAAACACAAGATTTACGTGGTTGGGCATTAAATCGATTCGCCTACGTCTATGAGGAGAAGAAAAAACTAATTGGAGTTATAACTCAACACTTCCTCTTCATAACTCTCATAAAATTACCCCTGATTAAAATTGTTGAAATTCAGAATAATGCGGAATAAAGCAAAATTAATTTCATTGATATGAGAGGGGGAATAAATAATATTTATAAGAGTTCAAGAATAGAAAAGACAACTAAAAGAAAAAAATATGAAAAGAAAAATATATCACATAATATCTCCAATTAATCAATTCATATTAATTATTTGAATATAAAATGAAATAACATAAAATAGGAAAGAAAACAATTGCTAATCCAAGGAAATAAAAATAAAATAGGAGAGAATATAACCCATGATCTAAGGAAATAATTTATTCCTCATAATATCTCACAGGAATAAATTATTTCCTAATATAACTTCTAAAACTTCTCCTCAAGTTGAAATATGGTTGAAAACCACATTCAACTTAGATTTAAAAACATCAAAGAATGGGCGATGGAGATCCAGTGAAGTAGAAAATGAAGGCTCTATCTCGTACTGCAGTTCCTGCAGTGTTTGCAGATAGGCGGAAGGCGGAAGGTTTCTATGGGTAAGGCTGCGGCGGGGAAGTGTACAGGGAAGTAGATCTTTGACTGCAGTTTCTACAGTGTCTATAATTAGATAGAAGACCCCTACAAATATTGCTGCAGCGGAGTTTGCAGGAAAGTCGACAACCTTCAAAAAAAGCTATAGGGTATGACCTGCATAAAAGGGGAAGAAAAAGCTTCGGAGGTAGGCCTGCTGCAAGAAAAAGCTCCGAAGAATGGCCTGTTGTGATACAAGATTCTGGAGGAGGGTCTGTTGCAGGAAAAAGGCTCCGGAGGAGGAATACCCTGGATAGCAGCAGCAAAAGATTGAACCGGAGGAGCATTCAACAAATTTATGAACCTTATTCTAAACATCCTCCCTGACATTGGATATACTAAGTATCTGCTCAGGAGCACCTTTGCTGACATGGTGTCAGATCAATGTAAGTTAAAGTAGTCTTCATGTCAAAAAAGATTCAAATGAAGTGGACGTCAGATGATGCTAGCCCTTGCCTTTTAGGGTCTGCAAGCATCCCAATCATGGCCGTCATCCTTTTCATAATTGTATATTGTTGTGATAGCCAATTTAGTTCCAATAGTCATGGTGACTGACAAGACAATGGGCATAGCGATCGGGATGCCTCCAATCAGGAGGACAAGCAGGTTATCAATCTCATTCCTGTACTTATGATGTTGGATAAGATACATGACTATAATCTCTACAAGCATGCCAATGGCGATGGAGCAAATGCAGAAATTCCTAATGGCAGTTAGAACCTGCTAAAATTGGCCAACTTGGTTAGCAGTGTCAACAAAGTGGGCAGCCTTGCCAAGGAATATATGAACGATAGTGGAAATGAAAACTGCCTCAAGATCCCCTATTTGCAGGAAGAACCAGAGAAGACCTCATCGTCGGGGTTTTTAGTCACAGAAAGAGATTCGCCAGTGAGAGCAGACTAGTCAATCTTAAGGGGATCGCGCTCGAGAAGTTGAGTATCAGCTGGGATGCAAAACAGTGGTAAGAGAGGACTGTTGTTGTAAGACTGCAGAAAATCAGGGAAGCCGGACAACTGGAAACCTGGACCACTGTAGGAAATCAGGAATGTCAAACTACTAGAAACCAGGAAGCCGAACTGCTGCAGTTAACAAGCGCCGAAAAATAGTGGCAAGGAACTGCAGGGAAGTTGGCGGGACAGCTGCACCTCCAACAAAAGGATCTACAAAAAAAACAGGGAAGTTGGACTGCTGAAAATATGGACAACTGTAGGAGATTAGAGAAATCAAACTACTGGAAATCAAGAAGCTAGAGTAATTCCTATTGTGAAGATGAACCATCACTTCTGTGGGTAAAACTACCTCTAATCCTCTACATAAGCAACATCAACAAGGTTGAGAGGAGATCCCTTATCACAAATGGGAGGGGAAACCCCATCCCTTTCTTCCATTTCACTATGCTCCTACTCAATCGGTAAAACTCATGCATCACATTCATATCAGTTGGCGCCCTAAAACCATCAAGTAACACATTCTCTCCGATCACAACATGAGAAGAGGAGTTAGAAATAGTAGAAGTTGACATCTCCATGGCGGCACCAGGCACAGCTTCAAGAGCGCGACTTTTTTCTGAATTAGACGAAACCAAAATCGGCAATGAGTTGAGATCAAGATCAGAGCTGAGGTCAAGATTGCGGGGACAAGGAGAACTTGAAAGACCTAAATACAAATTCAGATCCATATCACCAGCTCTAGTTCCACTTTCCTCTCTGCTGCTCAATCGGTAAACCATGCGTTCCTATCTCGATTGGAGAGAATTTAAAGGTGCAGAAGAAATGATCAAGAAGGACAACAAGTAGGATCCATAAGAGAAAAACATCCCTCCCTTTCTGCATTCTAACATCCCTCCCTTCCTGCAGGGAGAATGCAGAAAGGGAGTTCGGCGGCCCTATATGGAAGACCCGACGACTAGGGTCAAAAATTTGGCTCTGATACCATCTTGAAATTCAGAATAATGCAAAATAAAATATAATTAATTTCATTGATATAAGAGGGGGGTATAAATAACCTTTATATGAATCATATAATAGAAAAAATAATAAAAAGAAAATAATATGAAAAGAAAGATATATCACTTAATATCTTTAATTAATCAATTCATATTAATTATTTGAAGATAAAAAGATATAACATAATATAGGAAAATTTAAAATAGGAAAGGAAATAACTCCTAATCTAATTAAATAAATATCAAATAGGAAAGAAAATAACCATTAATCTAAGGAAATAATTTATTCCTCCTAGCCTCTCATATGAATAAACTATTTCTTAATATAACTTCTAATAAATATAATATCATAAAACAATAATTTTCACTTCATCTCTTACTTCCAGATAAATAAGAGATGACCAAATGAGCTTCAGACTCCAATTCAATTGCATCAAGATGGTAGCCTACGTACCACCCATCCCGAAGGGATCAAGCATCACGTATTTCTTCAAAATGCCCAACTGGGCAATCAATCATGAGCTCGAATGTTCACCAAACACCTAAAGTAGGTGCACTTTTGGACTGGTAATATCTTCTTCAATAGAGCCTTACCTTATTCAATCAAGTCCCGAACAAAGAGTACCTCACGTCAATGTGTTTGGTACGAGCATGATGACCTGGATTCGTGACCAAGAATATCACACTCTAATTATCACAGAACATCGTCAAAGACACCTGATCAACTCTCATGTTACCCAATAGGCCCTGCATCCAATCAGTTGATATGAACCAAGCTCTCACCATTACTAGCCCCCTCTTGGCCTATACTTCCAGTATATGGTGAGTCACCAAAGCGTGAAGTCACTTAACAAGGTGTGGTACAGTTCGAGTTCTCTAAATGATATATTCATACTCACAAATACTCCTTTCTCTATTGGGTTTCAATAAACATACCCCTTCTAAGTAGTAGAATAACCCACGAAAACATATTTCACCGCTTTGGGATCCAGTTTCCTGCAGATGGTTTGTTGTCTTTCACAAAACATACACATCCAAATACATTTAATTGGAGGATCCCACTATTTTCTTTTTTAAATAGCTGACATGGAGACTTCCAATCCAACCCTTTCGGGGACATTTTGTTGATCAATTAAGCAGCTCTCAAAACTGCTTGCCCCCATAAGAGCTTTGAGACATTCATCATGACCAAAATGCTTCGTGCTACCTCTAGGTTTATATTATTCATATCTGCTACTCTGTTTTATCTCGGTGTGTATGGACATTTGGTTTGATGTTGTATTCCTTGGACTGATAAGTATTCCACAAACTAACTGTTGTTACTTTGTCTTACTATCAGAAATCAATATCTTCACTAATGCATCATATTGTATCTGAATTGTCTTGTGAAAATCTTTAAAGCAAGCAAAAATGTCATACTTGCTTTTCATCAGATACAACTATATAACACGAGAAAAACAATCAATAAAAATCATAAATTATCGATAAACATTCATCAAATTTGTAGAACAATGTCTCAAAACATCAAAATGTATCAAATCAAAAACATAAAATTTTTCTTCCCATAACAGATATAAGAGCTCCTAGTAAGCTTACCAAACTCACAAGCATCACATACAAATTTTTGTTTATTTATCTTTTCATACAAAGACAGATACAAACAACTCAATAGACTAAAACAAGAGTATCTCATGTGTATGTGATGTAGCATTAACCCATCCTCCACACTCATCATAGATTCCCCTACCCAAACACTCTCTACAATGGATGTCAAGGCTGAGTCTATCCTCTCTCTATCTAAGTTTTAAAGTCCGTTATGTCACATTATAGTCCCAAGTGTTCAACCCATCATTTTCTCTTGAAAAATTACCTTAGGAAAATCAAATGAAATAACACATTTTAATTGTAGAATAATGATACTGATGGATAAAAGATTCAGTGGAAAAGAATGAGCATGCAAAACATTGGACAAAGTCATAATCGGTGCACCACACTCTACCCTTATCAACTACAGATTGTATTGTACCATCAACAGTTCAGATGCTCCCGGAACTCTTAGGTTAGTATAGGAAGAGAAATCTCTTGTAATATCTGTCACATGTCAAGATGCAGCAGAATCTACTATCTATTTTTGTGATATTGTAGTGGAAATAAAGGTAAGAGCATGTGTATCAAAGGTACCTTTGTCAGAGTGAGCATGAGTAGCAATGTTATCCTTTGATGACGACGAGGTGGATGCATCCTTAACATATCATCTGTTGGTTTCTACTTCCTCTTTATTATCTCCACAAACTCATGATCATCATCAGTAAAGCCCGCATATGTCTCTCCCTCGTCCTATGTTACCATCAAGTTTGCCCATTAGCCCCTTTTTTCACCTCTTCAACCACCACAACCACGATCACAACCTCCAAATTATCTGCGTTCACCTGGCTCTCTCTACTTAGATGACTTGGGACAGACCTTGCTCAGATCGCCTACTTCATCGTAGCTGAAGCACTTGCGAGTCTCCCCTTGGGCACCTGTCATAACTAAGCTCGAGGCAGCCAAGGTTGATTGTGTACCTGGAAGTCCACTTGGCTCGGAGTGAATCCCCATACGACTCCCCATGTATGATCGCAGTGATGACCTCATCCAATGAAGGGAACGTCGCCTGGGATAGGAGGAATGATTTCCTCTGATCAAAGGCTGAGTTCAGATGAGTCAGAAACTACATAGTCCTCGTCTACGCAAAGATCTCTCCCTTCTTACTCCCCGGATCACCACATCTCGACAATTGTGAGAAATGATCAAGATTTGCCTACAGTCGCTCAAGATTTATAAAGTAATCATGAATCAATCCATCACTCAATACCACGGTCTTTATCTTACGCTGAATCTGAAACACCCTCATGTGGTTCTTAACTCCAGCATAGATCTTCTTCAACTTCGCCCAGATGTCCCTTACCTTTTGAATACCATCTACTAATGAGAAAATAAATAAAACCATTGAGTTGAGTAGCCTGGAGTAAAGCAAGGCATTTGTGATCCTCCACTCATTCCCCTCAGCACTGTCAGGCTCTGGCTCGACCCCCATCAAGTATTTCTCTAGTCTCTTCCCTACCAGAGCAATCTCAATCCCACGCTACCAACTCAGATACGAGTACAGTCCATCGAGCTTCAAATCCTTAAAAGGGAGATCTAACGTCACCTACATCGGAGCACATGCTGAGATAATGACTCCAGTTGAGATGCTAGCTCCCTGTATGAGCCCGACCAAGCCCATCAGAATCTCAAAATCTATCTTCTCCAAAAGTTTCAATCATTTACCTCCCGTACTATCTCCATCTCCTGACATCCTCAACCACAAGAATCGAAGTCTAAAACACTCATATCACACTGACTTCCTTCCTGAGAGTGAACATCATCTACCATCAAAATAAGGGATGAATGTTGAGGAAAGATGTTGTTTCTATTACCCGCCTTCCATTCTCAACTACAAGAGACTATTCTTCCACTCAATACTCTACTGCAAGAGCTTCTCCCAACTAATGATTGAAAGCTTATGGACCATTTGGGGCAGCTGCAGCTTATTAAAAAACAGTTATGAAGCTGCTGAAAAATAATCTAATGTTCAAAAAACTATGGTGGCTAATACAATTTTTTAAAGTCAGACTGCAGCTAGAAAACTGTCACCACACATAGTCAGGATTGATGGGAAAACGTAGATTTCAATGGCTGTTTTTTGAATAAGTAGTCAAAACATAGTTTACCCAAACAAAAAAAAATGCGGTGCGGTGCTGCCACCCCAAACAGACCCTTAGTCCCCTCTCCCTCTCTTTTTCTCTCTCTTTGTCTACTTGTGGCTCCGATATGCTTCAATACAATGGAATCACTCCATATAGTGCATAGTAGTGGTCGGAAAACAGATTAAGAATAACAAAAAAATCTACCTTCATATTTTAATAGATAGATCCTATTTTGACTGCTTATTTATCTTCTTACGTTTACACTTCTCTCATAAAAGGTTTGATCCTGCATCCTGACATCCAAGTCAAGCATCAGCTTCAACAACAAAATAATAATAATAATAATAATATTGAATGCACCAAAGTTAAAAAATAAATCTGTAATTATTTGTCATTTGCTATGTAAATATAGTTCCACGTGTATGTGTATGTTTGACAGTCATTTTCATGGCATGTTTACCTCTTCCTCGAAATTGTCTTCCGGGTATAAAGAATCAATCAAGGCATCAAAGTCAATATCTGGATATAACGCTGCAATCAAGGCATCAAAATTAGGATCATCTCTTAACCAACGCCTACTTGGACAGTGAGTGCGACAAGTTGGACATTCTTTGTTCCTGCAATTAAGTAAAAAAAATGATCTGTAGAAGCCAAAATAAAAATAGAAAAAGCTAATTAAATTATGCCTATCATGGAAGCAGACCTAAAGCATGGAATGTATGATTTTCTAATTAATAAATAAATAATGAACTACATAGCATACCCGAGTCGCATGGCTTTGTCGATGCATTCTCTGCAGAAACGATGCAGGCACTCCATAACTGTTCTTGTCTTACGAATAACCCCTGGCATGTAGCATAAAACGCAGACAGTAAGAAATTTCCTTCAGAGACGGGGCTGCAATTTTTTTTTTTTTTTTCACGCACATTAAATGTGCATGGATTTCGCATTCCTTCTGACATATAGGTTAGAAAAATCTACAATTATACTTTTGACATATAGGTTGGCAAAAATCTACTGATGCTATGTTCATTTACAATCCTAAGCAGCTTCCCGAAATAGTTACGCACAAGAATCTCATAACTTGACAAGCCATGGTCTGTAAATCATAAGCTGCAGACATTTCCACACTCCTCAACGGAAGTTAACCAAAGACGTGCAAAACGAAGCCCTTGAAATTACCAGCAGTCATGCACTAGAACTCAACATATATAATGTAGATGGACGAAAGTCTACAGATTCATGAAATGACAGAACACAAATAGCTGAAAAATAAAAAATTGTTGATTTCATTAGTTGCAAAATAATTCTATATTCTGATGTTCTACATGTACCATCATGGTAAGTATGAGCATGTTCCTTTCTCATTCTTGCTGGATGGATCTTTAAGAAGCAATTTTATTTCCATTATGATCATGTATTTATCAATGGATACTCCCTGCCTATCCAAAGACTCGAGATCAACTAATTCTCATGCACTCTAATTGGTCTCAGGCATAGCATTGTGGGCTATTAATTTTTACACCCAGGCTTCTCTCAGATGGTGAGAGTTATGTTTTGTTGAGTTCATGATCAAATTTTCAAAATGCGGATAAGGACTATAGATAAGACATCACCTAACGATTTAACCATCATTTTGTGAAGTATTTATGATCTAGGGTTCGAGGTTTCTGTTACACTGATTACGAAACCGGTCCAGGCAAGGCCAGTCTGGACCCAGCCAACCGGCCAGCCCTCGCCTTCCAGTGGTAGACTGGTCAGCAAGAGAGGCCGGAAAACCCTGTTGCAGCCGCAGAGGATTTCAACACCCGGGTGGGGCCCACTAATAAAGTACGCAAGGAGGAGAAATTAGGGGATTTTTTTAGAGTATTTGATGAGTTTTTGGGAAAAGTTTGAAGAATTTTTGATAGAGTTATATTAGGTCTAATAAAAAAGATTTTGGGTTATGTTTTGTTTGAGCTGTAGTTTTTCTTTTCTCAAGGTGTTCCTAGCGACATTTAGGGTTTGTGGAGAGGATCTATCTCTCGAACAATATATTAATGTTGTATCTTGTTTGCTTTTGTTGGTATTAGTAAAATTTGAATTCCCCAGCCTCTATATTGTAATTTATTCATTGTTTTCGGTTTCAGATCGTATCAGTTTCCTGCAAACATAAGCTCTTATGCTTAATTACTCCTCTCAAAAACGAGAGAGCCCTTCCGATTAAGGCTTGTAATTAAGCACTAATTACTTAGTCTAGAGTAGCAAGAATTTGGATTTAGATGGAGAAATTTATCACTATGAGCTTAAAAACGATGGTTATGAAATAATTATGAACTCAATCAAGACCAAATGTTAAGTTGGCCTGGATTATCATAGTCACTAGTCTATTTAATCAGAGGAGGTGATCGACCCAACCTAACAGAAAAATCCTTCAATTGTTAGCAGTCATTTGTTGTTTCATCCAAGAAAACCTTATAGAACTAAAACAAATGTTTATTTAAGGGGGCTAATTCAAGTCATCCTTACCTAACAAAGGGATTAAATACGTCCTATTAAATATGCCAAATAGTTCATATCTCAATGAGCAAGAAGTCATTGGAGAATATGAGAGCTATAACTGTGATCGTAATATAATTGACCATGCCTGTCCAAAACAACATGATCAGATGGCTCTGATCGTAATCGCTAAACAACACGGATAGAGTACTAGAGTCATATCTTTATTAGCATAGATTATTTTGAGCGTGAATATAATGATATTTTGACAAGACTTTGATACTTTATATAGTTTACAAGTAATAAACCACAAAATTAAGCTTCTTCACCAAATTTACAAAAGTTTTCACAAAATTGATTGGTCCTAAAAATAGTGCCAACTAAAGGCGCCCTTTAATAATGTTCTTATTACCACATAAGGAGAAAAAAATATTTGACTATGGGGAAAAAAAAAAGAGTAGTGGCATGAAGCACTTCCTCAATACATATGAATAATCATAATACGACAATAGAGTAAAAGGAGCAAGAAGAAGAGCGAGTATATTAAATGGAAAAACATGAAAAAGGCTTGAGGTGAAAGACAAGGGTGCACCTGTAAACCTCATTCTCGATATGTATTTGTGATGTGTTTGCATTAAAACAAAAATGTAAGGCCCCATGAGAATTTTTTACTGGTCATCTGAAAATCTTTACAAAAGCAACAATAGGTAGAAACAAACTTATATTTTAATCGTAATGCCCCTTTGAGAAACTAATATTTCACCTATCGAGCTAAAGAAGGGTAAATTAGGGTTTGAGGGTAAACCCCAACTTCAACCAATTTTGGGTCATAACTGGTTACCCGGGATTAACTCAGACCAGTTTAGCCCAAACCCATTCCTTGGCAGTATATTCCCTTTGAAAAATGACACCTCTAATAAGAAACAACAAAAACTGAGTTTAGGAATAGCTTAAATGACAACAAAGTTTGTACTCAATATGAAAATAAATAATACTCCCCAAAGAAAAATATTTTATTATTGCTTACAAATGCCAAAGAGAAAATATCTCAGTTTTTCTTTTATTTTCAGGTTTTAAAGATAGTCGAGAGTTAGGATGTGATAATGTGAGTTAAAAGTATAGTTATGAAGAAATTAAACTAGCAGCCTAAACCGTAACTCAGGAGTTTGTAAAAATTGGTGCTGCACTTCTGATATGTAAGGATATCACAATGGAATCAACAAAAAGAACTTGTGAAGGGGAGATGCAAGGAAATATTACATCAGTTTATCCTGCATACATGTATGTGTGCGTGTTAATAAAAAATGTGTGCGCATGTTTCCATGGGCACCATGGGTGCCGTGATCTGAATAAATATCATATATTTTATAAGGGTGAAATGCAGCCTAAAAAATAATATGGATCGCCAATGGGAAAATGAATGTGAGAATAGATCTTAAAAAAAATAAATAAATAGCAAGTAATTCACAATGATGAAATAGAACAGAAATAGAAGGTAACAGTTGGAGAAATAACATCTATAAATGCAGAGTGTAAGATTAGGTGCTCAACCAAAGTAAACTAATCTTCTTCCAAGTCATACAAAACATAACATAAGAAAATGGAGGTCGTGACATGATTTTACTAAAAAGGATCTCCCAAATATTGCATACCTAAACATATAGAGCATTGCACCTCTTTGCTTACGTCCTCTAATTGAACAAGGATATACCTGCAAAACTATGTTTCATAAATCATTTCATATAGAGCCATGAAAATGTTGGTTAAAAAAAATCAGTTAACAAAAGATGTTAAATTTAGGTTTTGAGCGTGTAGAATCAACAAGTGGTCTAAAGAATGCATGTTCCCTGTCACACAACATTTGGGGTGATACAGACGTGCGTAAACTTGCTTGTTTATAGAAGTGAGGTTCAAACCAAGACACTCAGGTCACGTTGAGCAAGCTAACTGTTATGCCAAGGTCCCATGCACGTAATACAAAAGAAAATTCCATAGAAAATGAGATAATATTAAAGGTTACTTTTATTATCATTATATATATATATATATATATATATATATTGTACATAAGACA